GCATTCATAATCAATCCATAGTCATAGTTTTAAAATATAATTTATATAGTCATGGGGTAGTAAAATATATCTTCGAAAACATGCTCATTCTCAAATAGATCTCAAAATCAACTAATTCACTTTTCTAAAAATAACCTCATCGCTCAAATAACTTTTATAAGCTCTTAAACAAAGGTAGTAGAAATACTTCTCTGAAAAACATTTTATTTTTGAAACACATCTCCAAAAATCATTTATGTTACAAGTCTCAAAATTTATCTCAAGAGGTGGGCAGAACTCAAGATTCCTCAAGCCTAGCAAACACGTGGGTCACCGCAGCCCCCACGTCTCGCCCCGCAATTGCAGATCCCATCGGTCACAGATAAATGGAAGCTAAACCTCTACCTTAAGTGTGCACACCCTCTAAAAGGGATTCCAAGCCCTCCGAGTAGTAAGAAGTCTAAGTAGTCAGGATGTCTACTGACTACTCACAAATAGGATTGAATCCTCACAAAGCAAATTAGGAACTACTACTACCCTCTCAAAAGAAAAGGATAATTACATCCTAGTGTCCGGGATGTCTACCGAATCACTCAAAAGTCTCAAACAATTCACACAAGGTAGTAGTAGCCCTAACTCACTAGCATCCCGGGTTTCTCTGCGGGATACTCACAATTATGAAATCATTGTTCACAGTTCTTATCAAAACAAATTTGATCTCATTCTCAAAAACTTTCTCAAAATATCTCAATCATATTCATATCTCAAAATAGTATCCATAGCATATTAAGTACAAAGTCATAGTTCTCAAATTAGGGTTTCCCCCCGAAACTAGTTACAAAACAATACTTAATCTCATGTTCAAAATCATCCAATAAGGATAGTTCTAAACCCATAATATATATGTAAATATTCAAATCAAATTATACATTTAAAAATATATAATTTGTCTCAAAAGAATCTCCACAATTCTTCAAGTCAAAATGACAATTTCTCATATTTCACAATTTCGGCTATAGTAATTAAAATAATTAATTACTCAAAAATCATACATTACAAAATACCCATAAAATCATATCATTCTCAAATAAGTCTATCATAGTCGAATCACACATAAAATTTCATAGAAATCTCAAATCATAGCTCAAACCCTAATTAATACATGATAGGGGCAAAATAGTAGTTTTGGTTGCAATAGTCCTTACCTCGAGGCTAGCAACGAATCCTAAACATCAAACCTAGCTTGAGTAGTCACTCACACGTCCCTAGAAAGTTATAGGGTCGAAGGATCATAATTTAGGAGAAAGAAATCAAGAAAACGGATGAACGATGCGAATTAGGCAACAAAAACGCTTACCGGAAGATTGGATTGTTTGATCTCGTCCCTGGACTCAAAAATCATGTTGGTTATGTTAACATTAAAGGTCTGGGAGAGATAGAGCTTGAAGAGGCGGTTCTAGGGTTTTTGAAATGAGGAAAATCGGATTAGGGATGCATTTATAGTGAATTTTCGAAGTTTGGTCGAACTAGGACAAATCAGGGACGCACGACCGTGCGTGCCTCCACGCACGACCGTGCGTGGCTGGCAGTAGCTATTACGCTCAAATTTCATGCCACGCACGCCGTGCGTGACCCCCATACGTCTGAAACTTTAGTTTTTGCTCCGTTTCTTCCCCGTTTGGACCTCCCCTTGGTCCGAAACACTAAACCAACCATCATAAACTATCTAAAGACCATCTAAACGATACGAAACACAATTTTAATTACTTCTCAAATTTTCTCAAAATTTCGGGGAATTACAGGATGAAACACCTCAAGATAATGATGATGAAAACCATGAGCAAAGCAACCAAGAGACTCATGAGGAATCAAATCAGGAAGATCCCCAATCTAGTTCTTTGCCAGCACCAGAGCCGAGGCGATCCTCTAGGGAGAGAAGACCATCCATCCGGTATAACATTTAGGATTACATTACACTCACGGATGAGGGGGATTCGCAAAGTTACAAAGAGGCAATAAATGATATCCATAAAAAAGAGGGGAAAACTGTCAAATAGGTCCTCGAACTTTCATAAAAAAGTCAATTAAGTCCTTTTATAGGAGACTCTGTCTCGTCGTCGCGATTTGGGGCGGTTCCCGGTGGAATTTTTTGATGAAATTTTTTGAGCATCTTATTCATCAAGTCTAGTTTACTCATACCAAATTTCAGCTAAAAATTCAATCGGGAGCGTATTCAAATTAATTCGAGAACGCAAAAATGCGCAGTTATCTTCAAGAATTAATTTGAATGTGTTTCCGATTGAATTTTAGCTGCAATTTGGTATGAGTAAACTAGACTTGGTGAATAAGATGCTCAAAAAATTTCATCAAAAAATTCAACCGGGAACTGCCCCAAACCGCGACGGCCGGACAGAACCTCCTATAGAAGGACTTAATTGACTTTTTTATGAAAGTTCGAGGACCTATTTGACTGTTTTCCCTAAAAAAGAGTGAAGAAGAGCCATGCAAGAAGAAATGGCGCTACCAAAAGGGACAAGAGCCTTGAAGAATAAATGGGTGTATCGAATCAAGACCGAAGATAGTAGCTCAAAGCCTCGCTATAAAGCTCGGTTGGTTATCAAAGGATTCGATCAAGAAAAAGGCATCGACTTTGAGGAAATATTCTCTCCCGTGGTAAAGATGTCATCCATCCGAGTTGTCCTTGGCATAGAAACAGTGCAAGATTTGGAGATTGAACAACTCGATGTCAAGACGGCATTCCTTCATGGCGACCTAGAGGAAGAGATCTACATGGAGCAACCCGAGGGGTTCAAAGTTCCGGACAAAGAAAACCTGGTATGTCGCCTTCATGGCAGAGCATGACTTCACAAAGACGAAAAGCGATCATTGTGTCTTAATAAAGAGGTATGAATGTGGCGACTTTCTCATACTTCTACTCTATGTTGATGATATGTTGATCGTTGGACAAGATCACATAAAGATAGATTCCTTGAAAAAGGATCTAAGCAAGAGTTTTGCCATGAAAGATTTGGGACCGGCTAAGCAAATCCTTGGGATGAGAATAACTCGTGATAGATCGAAGAGACTGTTATGGCTATCCCAAGAGAGGTACATAGAGAAAGTGTTGGAACGGTTCAACATGGATACATCAAAGCCGGTTAACACACCACTTGCTGGACACTTCAGGTTGAGTTCGAAGCAAAGTCCAACAAGTGAGAAAGAAATGGAGGAAATGAAGAAGATTCCATACTCATCAGTAGTAGGCTGTCTCATGTATGCAATGATATGCACAAGACCAGATATCGCCTATGTAGTTGGAGTCGTTAGTCGCTTCTTGGCCAACCCTAGGAATGAACATTGGGTAGCGGTCAAATGGATCCTCCGATATTTACGAGGAACTTCCAAAAGATGCTTATGCTTTGGAAAAGGAAAACCAGTGTTAGAAGGATACACAGATGCAGACTTGGCCGGTGATATTGATTCAAGGAAATCAACGTCGGGCTACCTAACTACTTTTGCAGGGGGAGCTGTTTCCTTGCAATCAAAGCTGCAAAAGTGTGTTGCATTATCCACCACAGAGGCAGAGTACATCACAGCTATTGAAGCTTGCAAGGAGATGTTGTGGATGAAGAACATGTTGCTCGAGCTGGTAATAGATCAAGAAAGGTACGTGTTGAAGTGCGATAATCAAAGCGCAATTTACTTGGCGAAGAACTCAACATTTCATTCCCGCACGAAGCACATTGACACAAGGTATCATTATATCCGAAAAGTCCTCGAGGAAAAGAAATTGCATCTTGACAAGGTTCACACAAATCAGAACTGGTCAGACATGATGACCAAGGTAATACCGACAAAGAAGTTCGAAGACTGTTGTCAAGGTGCAGGTTTGCTACTACCCCCAATTAAGTCGGGAGGGGGAGATTTGTTGGGATCCCTCTTTAATTGGAGAGGTTCTAGAAAATTCTAGAGCTTTCTAGAGAAGTATAGAATTTTCTAGAACGTTCCGGAGAATCCTAGAGAAGTCTAGAACTCTCTAGAAGCTTGTGGAATAGTGTGGAATCCTCTAGAATATTCTAGAGATGTGTGGAACCTTCCGGAAGCCTATGGAAGAGTATGGAAGGATATGGAAGAGAGTGGAAGAGTATGGAGACTCCTAGAGTGTGTGGAGCATTCTAGAGAATCAATCTCCACCCTTAGATAAAAATCATCCCCACCATTCATTGTGAAGGTGGAGTAGTATAAATAGGGGTAGGGGGATTCATTCATTCCTAACCATCCTAGTAAGAGAGAATCCACTTCTTAGAGTGAGAAAGCTAGAGAGTTAGAGAGCCTCTTTGAGAGAGAAGAGAGATAGCTTGGGAAGTTTCTATCCTCAAGCTTGAGTGAGCCACCATTGAGTGAGACAATTTTTTAACATCCTTGTAAATCCTACTATTCTTTAATTTGTATAGTGGAAGAATCTCCATATTGGAGAATTTAAATCGTGTGCTACCATTGCTACCTTGATTCCTAAGTGTCTATCTTAACTTCACGAAGCGGGAAAGTCCGGAGTTTTTCCCAACACTATACGGAGTAGTTATCTTTACTAAATACAAAAACTTATTTCAATGTTAAAAATTCAACAAACTTAGCAACTTCAATAATTCCACAAGGCCACAACTAACAAGGCCAAACAGTTACTTAAAATGTGCCCATTACAAATTATCAAGCATACAGATTTGTTACTGAAAATAGCGCTTCAAAATATTTACATGATATTGCTAAATGCTAATTATGTGTAATATAATCCTTTGAGTTTTATTTCGAATTGAGAACTTTTTGGTTCATCGGAGGAGTCAATGACTTGAAGAGTTGAAAATACTTGTGGTCGAAGTACCAATTATCAAATACTCCAGAGAATGTAAATTAATACAATTCAATAGTATCAAATACTTGGTTCATCGTTAATGAGATATTGAAAAAGAGTGTCATTAATAAATTTGATCATATTTTTTCCGAGTATTTATTGATGATATTTAGGTCACTATATCTCGTTATTGATAAGTTTTAATTTATGGACATTCCCTAAATATTTGAAAATTGAAACCCAGACTAGTATCATAAAAATACAATAGTGACACAAGTTTTAAATCAGTTCACTAATGATATCATGATGTTACTCAAAGTAGCATTGATAAGAAATTTAACAACTCTGTTACAATGGATTTCCTCAACAAAGATGTTTATAATCACCTATCATGCTAAACGTTCAATTTGGTCATGTGGGGCTTATTCCAATGTCAGAACAATTTCTTGGTTCATCCGATGAATCAATGACTTGGAGATACTGATAATTGAAATACCAATCATCAAATACTCGAGGGAGTGTCTGTAAATAAATAAATTTGTCAGATAATAATTAAAAAGATGTATTAACCAAAAATGAACTTAACATATTATCTTATAGAAAAACTTATATTACCTCATCGCCCATGATACTTTCCATTTTCTTCACATCATTCCAATTGTAAGGCAACTCATGAGCAATACAGTGAGTAAACCAAAATCCTCTTACAAAGGGATGCGCTTTAGGCAGCGCTTGGAACAAATCCCATCTTAAATCTGAAAATGTAATATAAATGTAATGGATCTAGATGATGAAAAATTGGTTATTGGGGACATAAAGCATATAAGAAGAATATTGATGAAAAATTGGTTATTGGGGACATAAAGCATATAAGATGAATATTAATTAGAACTTCCTATTATTTAACTTAATCTCAACTATGTGATATATTTTATATACTAAAAGTGGTGATTTTCAACTTTCCATACTCCGTATTTGTTTCGAATTTTTATTAAAAAATAATAGTATCTTCGTATTTCATAATGGATTAGGTTCTTTGGATAGAATTATATTAGGAAACTATCCTAAATAGGAATAAAAACGTTTGTATATTCAAAAATAGAATTATATCATGTTTTATTTTCAAAATAGACTAGTTACTGTCAATATTTTCCAAACATGACAATAATTACTTCTATTTTGATAATAAAAACATAACGATCTTATTTTGAAATTTTCAAACGTTTCTACTTTTATTTCGCGAATTTTCCAAATGTATTTCATCATTTTCAACAGCTAACTCAATTATTTCAATATTACCAAATGATTAATGAATAACGACTACACAAACCTTGTATTGCTCTCTTCTGTTCCAATGTGCAATTAAAATTTAGCAGACACGTCTCATGGGCGGGAGACAGGTTGTACCTTATCTAACAAAGTAAAAGAGTCGCTCATCATTAGAAATAAAATTTAAAACATGTGAAAATGTTTATGTATTTACGTAAATAAGCGTTTCAAATATAATATCAAACTGAAAAATGAGTGGATAAAAATAGAATGACGTGATTACTTTTAGTAAAAAAATAATGGTTACTGTATATTAAAACAAAGGAGTACGGATATTTTTAATTGAACTCAAATCTGATCTAATTTAGTATATTTAAATCTAGTCTGATCTAGTCTAATATGAACTGTCTAGTCTGATCTCGTCTCGTCTCAACTGATATGGTTTGATATATGTCTGGTCTAATCTGCTTAATTAAGTTCCGATCTATTTAAGTCTAATATGGTCTGATATGCTCTAGTTTGGTTGATCTAGGATCGAAAGTAATCAAAGTGAAAACATTCTAATAATGCTTTTAATTGGGATAAAGTTTCATGATTTGGTATGCTTGATCTAGTCTATTAATCTGATCTGGTCTGGTTTGATTTGTTTTGTTTAAGTCTGATCTGTAATATTCAGAAGTCCGAATTGGGATGTCTAGTGTAGATGTCTAGTCTATGTAAGTATATTTTGCAACTTTCAATGTCTTTTCTAGTTTCTGATCTTTTTAAATAAGGGTTTGGTATGTCTCATATGTGTAGTATGAGACTGAAATCACACCAAGTAATAAAAAAACATCAAAACAACTTAAAGTCACATTTTTTTAATAAACATAATTTTTGGTAGTACGTTAATCAATTAAATTTTTATTTCATTCTACAATTAGTGTTCTTAAAAGAAATAATTAATTATTTTTTTATATTATCCTTTTTTATATCTTTTTTCAGTCATATCTTATCCTTTTTCTTTTCTTATCTTTCTTTCCTTTTCAGATCTGATATCATGTACCGATTCATGTTAGTAAGTCGATCCTAAAAAAATTATACCAAGGCTCGGATGTGATTGTTCTTGAAGAACTAACTAAATAGATCAAGGTTAAATCTAGTTTAAGCTCTATCATGGAAGTATAACTGTGCTTCATAAAGCCTATGTTTGATAAATTAGTTGAAAATGTATTTTTGTGAGCTGATTAGTAACTGTTACTCCGTAGTTTTTAGTGTCCAAAAACATCTTAACAAAAAATGTTATTATTTTTTTATAAAAGTTGTTTCTTCGATTTAGTTTTGTTTAGTATAATACTCATAAGTTGTTATGTGTAATTAATGCTAAAAGCTACAAATTTTATATCAGAAACTACTCAATATAACTTCTTGTTGAGGTTTATTCCTTCAACCCGTGGACCCAACACGTAAGCCCAAAGGTTTCGAATGGAGTGGATGTGTGGTTATCTAGCCCGACAACTATCAGATGAATCAGGAAACAAGAGTAATAGCAGGCAATGTAAATAGGTATTATTAACTTCGTAATAACTCCCCTAAGTACAATCTACTTGCTAAAAAGGGCACGTCGGCCGTTCGTCTTACAAGGCGATAGGAATGCTACTCGTAAGAATGCTGGAGCTAGTATGCTAAGAATAGAAAGTTGCCAACCCTTTACAATGAAATAAATGCTTCTATTTATACCCGCCAATGGGCAGGTGGCTGTACTGACGTGGCAGCCTGTGGACCGCTGGTGTCCCAACTACCAAATCTTTAGCATTAAATGCACTTCCCGCCAGAATCTAGGTTTCCCGCCGGATCAGTGGGGACGTTCGTCCACCCCGGAAGTGAGTTGGATTGCTCCAAGTGACCCTTGAGGGATATCGGCTGTTCGTCGCCTGGCCTTTATAGATATTCACCATGTGCACTGGGTTTTCCCCGATAACCACAGGCTTGCTCCGGGGACGTTCGTCGCCATCCCCGCTGGCCCGTGATTCTGCTCTTTGTCTCTGCACAGACGTTCGTCGGAATGAGCTGCTGGGCCTGAGTCCTCCAACACCAGACGTTCGTCCATCCTCAAGAGACATGGGCCTGTGGGCTGGCCTGGTTTCTAGCTGGACGTTCGTCTGGCAAAATGGGTTAGTGGGCCGGACCTCGGCTTGGGCCCTTAACCCAACACTTCTAAAGAGATTTATTTATTTTCAAAAACTCCTAATTATTGTTATGTAAAATATATGATTAGAAGTTTTTTTTGACTTTTTAAATAGTACAAAAATTAAATGGTATGCATTATATGCCTACTAAATATGCACAAAAACAATAGGTGTAAATGAGGTTTGGAATTCCAAAATAGGACTACTATATTTTTCTTCCAGAAATAGAAGTTGTTACTGTCATGTATGAAAAATCCCGCATGATTGAAAAATACTGCCACTAATTCTAATAAATATTATCATGTGAAATGCAATGTACTGCAACTATTAGACAGTCATGCCTACAAGATGACAGTAAATAGTGTCATTTTAGTCCTGTTTAGAGAATAAAACCATAATACTCTTGAAATTCCAAACTTCATTTACTTTTATTTTGAGAAATCTCCCTAGCAAATACGGAGTAGGAATTATGAAGTAAGCCTTTTACTCCAATACTCCCTAAGTCCCTATCTTTCCCAAACGTACGTATTTTGTAGTTTAAGTTAAGAAGTTTATTCGCTCAAAAAAAGTTAAGAAGTTTATTCTACTTAAAATTTTAATACGTATTTTCTAATTAATTAACAATAAAACTTAGTTATTTAAAATAAAGTATGAAAAATTGTCGAATGCCCAACACTCTAACCTGTATATGATCAAAGGATGACATGGCTATGAAGGTTGGTGTCTTCACATAAGAAGTAAGGTATTGTGGGAAGAAACACTGTAAAATGTAATTGCAAATAGATAACATTAAATACCATTTCAACACCCTACACTAGCTATCTTGTAAACCAAAAACACAGCAAAGTTTAGCGTCCGAAGTTTGAAATTTTGGTTTTGTGAGAGTCAAAGTTTAAAACTTTAATAGTTTTTTTTATTTCAATATATATATTTTATACCGATTATAAATATTCATACACATACATTTACATTAGAAATTTTCCCACCTCTAAACACATACTCCATAATAAGTTAATACAAGTATAACTTACAAGACTGGGGCGGCTCATTATGGAAGTACACAAGGAGGGCAAGGCTTCGGTTGATCCCTGTAAATTAAAGTTATGTTATAAATAGTACATTAGTTGAAGTACCTTAATTTGGGTTAACTTAGAAATTGTAATAGAAACTTTCAATTTAAAAAAAAAAAACTAATCATATTTCGTGTAAATAATACGTAGTACACAGGAAGTAATTACATGTAAGGTAATCAACGCCTCAAATGCATTCTCGAAATATCCTCCTCCCATTGAATCATCCCTGTTAAATAAGTTACGATGCAGAGAAGACATCTAAACCATTAGTATTAAATTGGATAAATCTTAAAAATATCCCTATTTTTAAAAAAGAATCATATAGATATCTTAAATACATTAAACAACTTATGCAACGCTAGCAATAATATTAAGAGCCCGTTTGTAGATCCTGTTTTTCAACTTATCGACATTATTGGTCATTTTTCACCAAACATACATAACTTTTGATTTCGCGCGCTGAATTGTGTAATAATAAGAAAACTTCAGGTTGAAATTACTTTTCTGACCGTATTGGCTGAAGTTACTGTAGAAGATTATTTTAGCTGTTTTTTCATATAATTTCATATTTATTTCATTAATAAAATATATTTTAAATATAACTTTTTTCATAAATCAACAGAATCAGTAAAAAAAGTCATTTCAACCGCAACTTCATAAATTTCAGCAAAATCATCCACTCCAACTATTTTGGCTATTACCAAATGGGCTGTTAGCTTAGACCAAATATTTGCGCTGAATTCATGGCTTGAATTCCATGTTTATGTTGTTTCAAAATAAGTGCACTTGGTAATGAATGATTTTGATGAGCATTAGATCGGTTCAACTGATAATAAAAGGTGTATGAAATTCAATCATTGCATACATCAAAATTGCACTTGGATCATAATCACTAGAGGAATTTCATTCCAACTTGAGATATTAAAACGCATCAATACGAATCATAAATAACATATACGGAGTACGTAGATCATTGTTGATACTCCGTATGCTTAAATTTGTCACCTCGATTTAAAATATATTGACTAGTGTTCATTTTGCTGAGTTTGTGAATAGACATTTTTTGGTTGTATATTTGGAATTATATTTTAATTTACTCCGTATAATAATAAAAATAAACTTACATATGCAGAAAATAGGATGCAAGAGAGAGGCACTTGACTTGAGCAGTGATGGGAAGCAAATCTCGAAAGCGGTCACAGTGGACAAATGCAGCCACTCCTCCTGCTGAACTTCCACTTAGCAGTGCCTATTATTAGAATATTCAATTAATGAAATTTCTATTTTAATGCCCCTATAGCTATATTGTGAAAAAGGAATAAATATGGATCCTTACTTTGATGGGATGCACATTAATTAACACTACCTTTAGTATACTCCATCAAGCTAAAACGTACTATTTCAAAAATAAATTAAAGAGCCGTATTTTGTGTCCACTTTTTTGTGTGTACATCTTGGTCACATTTATCTATTTACACAGACAGAGTTATTTGTATACAGACAATTCTATGAGGTCTTAATTACTCAGGTGTCTGTAAATAGACAGCTACGTGGAGCCTTACAGAGTTGTATATATATAATTGTGTTTGTGTAGATAGAAAAGTGTATCAAGGGTGTACACAAAAACGTATACACCAAGCATTTTTCTAAAATAAAATGGTTCGATGTCGATTACGTACATTTTGAGCTTGTTCCATTCCTTTGGCAAGCAGATCTGCCATTGTCGCTTCAAATATCCTTAAGCCTCTGTAGGTTACATTTGTAACCTTGAAATAAAGAGATGTTAAGAAATGAATTAAGAAGTATAAACATGTGAATATCGTGAATAAGGTTATCAAATAACCGATTGTTAGATTATTTCAACAACAAAAAACGATTATTAGAGAGCTACTTACACTATCAGCGGCCTCCGTGTTTCCAGTGAATGAAGATCCATCACAATATGGAACATAAACTCGGTTCCAATTGTAGAATTCTACATCAAAGACAATAACACATTCAATTCATTGAGTACATCAAATTAAAGGGCAAGTACATGAACATCTTAAATACGGAGTATATATATATATATCTTAAGTTTTGTTTTATTTTATGTTTTGTGCCTGATTAAGTGATTCTATCTTTTCATGGTGCGACTTTTTCTTACACGGACATGATCATTCTCACACTAAAGTAGTTTAAACATACCATATCAGACGAAATTATAAGAACATTGATTTTAGAAATTAAACATGTATGGGAGTGATTGATTGATATTTTAGAAATAAAACATTGATATTTTAGTACCATTTAGTGAATTTTGTCAAAAAAAAAAACCCATTATAGTATAGCTAATTTATTTTCACAAGTTTGTTGCATAAGTATGTAGATATCGATATAAGTGTTCAACGATATGATATAAGTTTGTATAGAATTAATATTTTGGGCACTAGTAATTATTAATTAATAAGTTGAAGGTGTTAATTTAATTACTTGGATTTTCTTGTGAGTCGTTGGAGAGGAGAGATGCCTCGAAGTCCCTGTATTGATCCCTCAGTGTAGACGAACCGTACTTTGATTCGGAACGCTCTTTGCACTCGCTTTGGTTTGAACACCACCCTCCTCCCTTCAAATTAAATAAGTCGCCATATATATATACATACATCAAATACACAACATCATATTACTTTAATTTGGGGAATTATTAAAAGTTAAAGGCATATGATATACGTTCCAAACTTGTAATCAAAATAACATAACCAAGTTTTCTTGGATCACTTACTTCTAAAAAGATGAGCCAGTTGTCCAGCCCTTGACCTTCTCCTTGGTCAAAATAGTATACAGAGGGAGACCCATCCAAGCAAACTACATTATATTATTTGTGAACAACGAATTAATAATTAACTTCATTATATTCCAAGCAAATATTATATATATACTCCATTTAATTTATACCAGCGCCCTTTTCAACGGCATGATCAACGAAAGTCAGGGAAACGTTTTGCTGGGCAGCCTCCGTAAGAAGCATGAAGCTAAAGGCAAGGAGTAGTAGCAAATACCATGTTGATGCGGTGCTCGCCATTCTTCGTACTTACGTGTAATCTATATGCACATAATATAAAAAAAAACAAAGTTAATAATATATATACATATACATGCATTTCGTTCGTAGACATTGTTATCATATATAAGGGGAAGTGCAGGGAGCTGGTTTCAGTCATAAAAAACTTAAACTAGTTATCAAGCAAATTAAACAAATAGAAATAGGAAAAAATTCTCACGTTGTTGAAGATGAATAGGATGATATGGCTAGGAACAAAGGGGTTGTACGTATGTTGTTTAATACGAAGTAATAGGTAGCTAGCTAGGTAAGAATATATATGGATGGGTTGTAGTTGATGAGATGTGTATAGTAGAGCTTCACTTATATAGATAGATGGAGTTTTCAAGGCCGGAGCTTAGGGTGCATGGAGTGCTTTAATTACTTAAACCCGCCACGACAAACTTTATGCCAAGTCTTCACGTTTGAACTAAACATAGTATATATGTGCATTGAATATTGAGTGGGACTTCATCCTCTATTTTTTTTTGTTGCGCAATATACCTACTACCTCCGTCCTATTTTATGTGTCTCCTTTTATTTTGGCACAATTTTTAATAAGGTGGTTGAAAAGGTAAAAGTTGTGGTTGAAATTTGAGTATATTAAAGTGAAATGTTGTGAACCATATATTTCTTTCCAAAAAGGAAAAGTTGACACTTATTTTGGGACAAACCAAAAAAGAAAGTAAGACAGGTAAAATTGTGACGGATGGAGTAGTATATATTTGGAGACCATACTTTCCAGTTCGTTTCCAGTTTTAGTCCTCTGAACTGTGATATTATACAGCTTTTAATTGATTATTTTTTGTTTGGAAAATATACTTTTGACTAAACCGTAATCATCTACGTAACTCATTATTTTCAAAAAAAAAAAAGCAAAAGTAATGGATGGAAGAGTATCAAATTTGGGCATCAAAGGCATATCATGATACAAATGTATACCAGGCCAGTACGAGCAGTTGCCTTTTATAACGTAGTTCTCCCGTTAATATAATCCATCATCATCCCATGTGCATGTTTTTATTACACGGGCATCTCCAACAGTTTACACCATTTTTTGCACTAAAATGGTGTAAACATCACATCATATAGTATTTGGGAAAACTGTCAAATAAGTCCTCAAACTTTCATAAAAAGGTCAATTAAGTCCTTCTATATGAGATTCTGTCCTGCTGTCGCGATTTGGGACAGTTTCCGGTGGAATTTTTTGATGAAATTTTTTTAGCATCGTATTCACCAAGTCTAGTTTACTCATACCAAATTTCAGCTAAAAATTCAATCGAAAACACATTCAAATTAATTCTTGAAGATAACTGCGCATTTTTGCGTTCTCGAATTAATTTGAATACGCTCCCGATTAAATTTTTTGATGAAATTTGGTATGAGTAAACTAGACTTGATGAATAAGATGCTCAAAAAATTTCATCAAAAAAGTCCATCGGGAACCGCCCCAAATCGCGATGACCGGACAGAGTCTACTATAGAAGGACTTAATTGACTTTTTTATGAAAGTTTGAGGACCTATTTGACAGTTTTCCCTATAGTATTTTATATCCAGCAGTTATACCATTTTCATCACTAAAAAGGAATATTCATTTTTTATTCTTTTTACTAACTTTTTAACATTATTATATTTAATTATCTAATTATCATGTATTTATACATAAGCCCCTCATTTAAGATGTATTTTGGCATTTCAAAAATTATTTCAAAAATACAAACTAAAATTCTACTATAATCAATATTTCACGCATGAAATATGTATGAGTTGAATGACTACTAATTTCTAAATTAGTATGTATTATGTATGATTTTTATAATGTTTTTTTAATAATTTTAATGGTGTTATTAATTGTAATTTTAATTATGTTATTTTCTTAAGTATCATTTGTATTCGGTTATTATGTTATTTCGATTTGAAACTTTATTTATAATATTGTGTGATTTAAATTTTATTATACTTTTTTTTAATTTTCTATCAAATTAATAATTTAATTTTGTTGTTCTATAATTTGTTGTTCTAAAAATGAGTCAAAACTATAACAATCAAAATTTTGCGTCACATTTGAAATAATAAAAAAATAAGATGGTGCAAGGGGTGGTGATGCGCCATATATGGTGAAATGGTGTAATGGATGGTGCAACTATTGGAGCAAAAAAATGACGAATCCACCATTTTGGTGTAGGAAATGGTGCTTGTTGGAGAAGCACTTCGGGATGAAACAAGCGGAGGCATGGAGTTTAATCTAACTATCTAATAAAGTGAAAGAAGTATGGGGTATTAACTAAAAGAGTTTTTTGTCTTAAATAGGACTAAATTATGATGAAAATTCTTAAATGGGAGTTAATGTTTTATTTTACCTAAATGGGACTCCTTGTGTGACACCGCACCCGAACGTCCTTTAAAATTCAATTAAAAATTCAAAGTTTATGTATTGAATTCCCGATTTCCAAACAATTGTAAAACGATTAATGTTTTACGTAGTGCGTGATTGATTATTGTACTGTTCGAACTCGTATATTAGTGTCGGGCTTGCGAATACTTATTTGGGCCTTGTTAATGAATATAAGAGCCCAACAGTATCTAAATAATGATACATAACCTTTCAAGACAAGTTGAGGAAGGTTGGGCAGCCCAAACATTATTTTGGGCCCAACCTGCTAAAAATAGTAAGTATTCAAGAATGGTGTCCTAGTCCCACTCGAGGGTGAACCCCACGGCTTGTAGCCCAACATTTTGCACAATAATGTCATAAATAAGTGTTAAGATGATTAGGGAAGAATACAAATGTCTATGGTCCCATCTTTGACATTATTGAGCTAAATAATGGGAATAGGTTTTCTTCTATAATTTTCATCACATGAATTATTGGGATGATGCTACACATATTGGGAATCGATAATATGATGTAGAGGGTTGAATTGTTCTAAAAAAATTAGAATGAGTGCAAAAGACATCTTTTGACAAAAGATAAAACAATAGGACACATCTTTCCATTTTTGGAAGTATTAGTGGATATTTTGGACCCCAAATTGATTGGGATCAATTGGGATCCACTCCACGTGACCTTAGTACCTGCAAAACAAAGATGAATATGTCAGACAACTATGTGGGGCGGACTTTTGACTTAACAGCTACAACATTACAAAAAGGAAATAAAAGAGGAGGTCCACCCAATGTTTGAGTGCAATCAAATATCCTACCTTTCTTTTTTGTGAACCACATGCTCTCTTAGCATGATTGAGGTCTCCTATACACTCCCCCCAACACCCCATTCGAACCATTTGAGATAATAGAGAAGGAGAGAGCCACACACTTCAAGAGAGAGTTGAAGAAAGAAGCTGGCCACAGGTTCGTTGTCCAGTAGATAGGGTTGCTTGTTTGATCCATAACGTGAGCGTAACTCGTCCAAATAAGTCGTAAAAGATACCAAAAGAAATCTCTCAGGACGAGGAATCCGTGAAGGTCTGGTTTGCATCAATCGGAGTAGTGGAAGGCTTCCAAGTAGTCCGAGCAAAACACAACTTCGCAGAAACGGATTTACTCTCCTAAAGTGAGTTTTAACCCCAAAACATTTCCTTTCATTTTCCAAATGATATGAACGATTGGTGGAACTATTATACACTACTCCAAGTGTATAATAGGTTCTTATAAATTTATTTTATTGATGTAAAGGTTAGATACTAACCTAGAGCAAATCTTGGAAACATACTAGGAAACGAGTTCGCCGGAAAACACCCATTCTAGGGGCGGTTTTCGTATCAACGGATTAGGGGCGAGTTAGCAATTTGAGAAGGCTGTTTAGCACTCATTTTTAAGCAAGGAATCGGTTCTTAATCCATCTTGATCGAAGCTTTGACCGTTGGATCAAGAAGGAAAAGTTTAAATCAAAATTAAGGTGAGGACCGACATCTAGATGCTTACAACTTGTAGATTATGCATGAGATTACCTAAAATCTTAAATCCTGTTTTTGTGAATAAAGATGCTTGAACATGATATGAATGATAGGTAATGGACTTGATCATGAGTTGAAAACATATTGATGAATATGGAGTCATATGAGGTAGAAGTATGGTAATATGGTAAATAGACCTTTCTAACTCATGTATGAATGTTATGTGTATGTAAATGTATAGTTGTATGATGATGCTTAGCACATGGGAGGCTGCTGTAACACCGTCCCCAAATATATTTACTTTTATGTAAATAACGTATCGAACCTTATTAAAGGATTAATGAATTTACGAAGTTGTAAATTTTTATTATTTCTTTCGCGTGAATAGTAAATTGCACGTGGGACCCACACCGGGAGCGGGGCCGCCCGACACTCCCGAGACCACATATTTTATTCATCTTGGTCAAGATAATAAATATATAGTGGTGGGTATTTCATCTGGGCCATGGAAAGGCCCAGAGTTGACCGATTGATTAAAAGTAGCCCAAATTATCGGCACTGGTAATTTAACTGATAACAGCCCGAACTGAATTTCGGAGGCTTATAAATTTAAGTTTTGGAATATATATTATTTAAAAAGGGAATTATGATTGAGAACACATAATATATTTTATTTTACTTGATAAAATAAAATATGACTAAAATAGTCCGAAAAATACAACTTTCGGGGCAAATTGTACACTTTGGGACAAAAGGGGATGACCTCCCACATGGGTGGGGGCCACCCCACGAAATTGTCAACCAATGTGGGTTGATTGAGAGCTAAATTGGCTGAGGGATACTTGAAAGGATGGGGGAGACACCATTGACATCCAATGGACCCCTTTCCCACACCCTTTTGTCAAAAGAAACAAAAAGATGCATCTTTCTCTTCCTCTCACCCATTATTGCGGCCAGCCCCAAGGAAAGGAGAGGAGAGAGCTCTGAAACCCCATCTCCCATAGTTGAACTCGAGCCCAATCTCAAACAAGAGAAAGAAAGAAGTTTAAGGGAGAAAAAGTGAGCAAAAGGTGTGAATAATTAAGGTAATAACCTTGTAACCACTTTCTCTCTACTCTTTTGATTACCATATGAAATATATATCATATGAAGAACCCTTAGGCTTGTTCCACATGTTATAAGTATGGATTAATGGGTTGGAAAGTGGTTCTATGTCCAAGAACGGACTTAAGAGCCAAAACAACCGGTTCACCGGAAAATAACCTTTTTGAGGTTATTTGTATTAACATGGGTTTTATGATTATAAAACCTTGTTAGGAACTTGTAAAGGGTATTTAAAGTGATTTCACAAAGTTGGAAGAGTCGCCGGAGTTGTCGCCGGAGTTGACCAAAAGTCGCCGGAGTTTCACCGGAGTTCAACCAAGAAGGGTAGAACTTCATAACGCTAGTTCAAGGTGAGTGGACGGCTTAATATCTTATAACTTTTGGGTTAATTATAAGATTACCTAAATAAATGTTATATGAGTTCATAATGATGTTTAAAAGATATTTAAACATGTGATTAGCCAATAGGGTTAAGTTTGTATGAAAGAAATAGATTGTTTATGCATAGAATATGATATGAAGAATTATATAAAATGCATATTTGCTTGAAGTGTATAAGAAGCACAAATGAATATTTTAACTTAATTATATGATGATTAAGTTGATTTGTACAAGGTTTGAAATGGCGGTCAACGACAACGTTGACCGGTGGATAATGGATTAATTAATATCGGTTGATATTAATTAATTATACATTTACATAATTGCATGGCTTTGCATGGAATGTGATACATAAGTTTTATGTATTGAATTAGTTATGAATGGCTAAATATGATATAGACCCTATCTAGTGTGATATGTGGTAAGTCATAGGTCGGGTGGAGTACCCAAGGATCGGGCGGTTATCCTCAAAACTCGGTTATATAGGGTGGAGTACCCAAGGATCGGGCGGTTATCCTCAAAACTCGGTTATATAGGGTGGAGTACCCAAGGATCGGGCGGTTATCCTCAAAACTCGGTTATATAGGGTGGAGTACCCAAGGATCGGGCGGTTATCCTCAAAACTCGGTTATATAGGGTGGAGTACCCAAGGATCGGGCGGTTATCCTCAAAACTCGGTTATATAGGGTGGAGTACCCAAGGATCGGGCGGTTATCCTCAAAACTCGGTTATATAGGGTGGAGTACCCAAGGATCGGGCGGTTATCCTCAAAACTCGGTTATAGGGTGGAGTACCCAATGATCGGGTGTGTATCCTCAAAACTCATAGATTACATATAATGATCTAGGACCGGGCGGTGTCCTTATGATAATTTACTTGAACAAGGAGGAGTTCTATACACTCATAGGCATATGGGTGGGTTGGGGTTTTTAGTCAAGAATATTGACTATTACTATTTTTCCCAAATAAACTGGTGATCTACGGATCGGATATTTTTCCAAGTATATATATACTATTAAGTATTTCATAACTTGGGGGAAAGACTATTTATATAAGTATCACCCTATGTTTGGGTCTTATACTTGAAACGCTAGTTATTCTATATTTAGCCTGCTACTCGCTCGGTACTTGTACTGACCCCTTCGGGGGGCCCCACCATTTTCAGGTTGAAGCTAGGGCTTGCTACTTGCACCTTCTCACGGGTGATATCAAATCAGGAAGACGTGGTTCGTGCTTCCTTATTTTCTTTCAAACTACCGAACACTTGCTCATGGATATTTGTTCTACTATAAACTATTTTTGGGGCTTGTATGCCCATGTTGTTGGCCGGTTGTGGCTTATGACTTACCATTGAATATTTCCGCTATTCATTGGTTTAAATGTGATGTTGTTATGTATGTTTACTACTGAGTATGGATGGATTGTTTTCTCGAACGCCTTGTGTAATTAAGAGGGGTTGACTCGCGGGTGACGTCACTTAATTATACGGCGGTTGTACACGCGCTTGGATTGCGGTCTGGGGCGTGACAATTAAGTGGTATCAGAGCCATCTCAGTTCTAAACTATATAATCAACCTCTCACAAAAGATTTTACAAAAGAGTTTTTACCGAAAACCATGAGCATTGTATTTTGACGTTTATAGGACTATTGGTGCTTAAGTTGCAAGGCCTCTAATTGTTAAGACGGTACCCTTAACAATTGGTATGGTGGTGACTTGGGTCAATACGTGTCTATAACGTTTTTCCGTCAATTGACATTCATAGGAGTCTAAAGACTCGTCCAAATTCCGTTTCAGAAATGGAGGGTAAGCGAATGGCAACAAGGAATGACCCTAAGGGACAAGCGTCGGTAGCTTACCTTGAGGCTAGCCGGGCTGTGTCACGAGCCATTACGGGGAGAGGAATAGGCCATGGGGTCCGTGAGGGCCGCCAAGCGGCAAACGCTAATCAAGTGGGCTCGATGTGTAACATGAACACCAGGAGGAACGAACGTAGGCGTCAGGCGAGGCGAGATCGGGCCACCTCCCAACGTGATATGACTGTCAGCCAAACCCATCCTTGGGCAAACGACCAAGGAGGAGAAAGCACTCTTACGGCACCGGCATCACCGGTGAAAAAGAAAAGGAACTCAAAGTGGCACACGTCCCTTCCTTACTCCTTAAGACCATCCAAATGTTCTAATTGCTCTAAGAAACATTTTGGAAAGTGCAACGAGCCCCCGATGTGCTACAAATGTGGGAGCACAACCCATATGAAATTAAGTTGCCCATGGAGGAGGCAACGAGAGACATTGCAAGCCGAGGAAGGGCTCACCGTGGAAGGAAACCATACGGAACCAACGATGAGCAATGCTACGTCCGTCAATCAAGGCGGGGCCCAAGCAAAGGTCTACGCAATGACCGAGGCGGATGCGAGAGCAAACCCGGACTCCGTTGCAGGTAAACACGTATTCCCATATATTTCTAGGCTTATTTTGATCATATACACCGTTGGGGGTTGAGTTCGGGCCACCCCGGGATCAAACGGAGCGAAATTGAGCGAAATCGGGCGAAATCGGGCTGATTTCTGCCAACGCACTACAGGCTGGGCTGCACGCACGGCCGTGCGTTGCCCGTGCGTACCTCCGTGCGTTGGTGGCAGTAGCACCCCGGAGAAAATCGCTGCACGCCCGGCCGTGCGTTGCCCGTGCGTCCCTCCGTGCGTTGGGGGCAGTAGCCTCCATTGGTAAGGCAAGGTACGCACGACCGTGCGTACCCCCTACGCACGCCGTGCGTGGACCCCTGGCACCCGAAACTTGATTTTTTCGCCCCGTTCTTCTGCGTTTGGACCCCCGTTCGATTCCAAACATTAGTATGAACCTAATATCCTTCTAAAGATGTGAAAAAACATTAGAAAATGTATCTCACATGGTGTATAAACGTAGGAACACTAAAGATCAATGGTAGGTGTGCGAGGATCCTCATCGATACCGGGGCACAACGCTCATTTGTGAGTGAGGCGTTCGCCGAGGGCCTTGACGTGCCATTGACACCTATGACGCAAGCGTTGCTAGTCTCCACACCGTTAGGAGACGACGTGGAGAGGAATCATTACTATCCGTCGTGTGAGGTAGAAGTGACGGGTCAACCTTTGACTTGTGATTTCGTACCTCTAAGCATGTTGGAGTTTGATGCAATCCTAGGAATGGATTGGCTCGAGAAACACCATGCTCGAGTAGATTGCTACACCAAGGTGTTGGAGCTCGAGGATGATCAAGGAAACACGCTATGTTTCGAGGGAGATCGGGGAAAATCTAATGCTTGTATCATATCCGTGATGAGAGCACGGAAGATGAGGAGGAGGGGATGCCACGCATACCTTGCCTACGTGGTGGATGATACAAAGAAGGAAGTCGACGTCAAAGATGTACGAGTAGTATGCAAATACCCGGATGTCTTTCCCAAAGACCTACCGGGGCTCCCACCCGATAGAGAGATCGAATTCGTGATTGAAGTGGAGCCGGGAACCAAACCCATTTCGATTCCTCCTTATCGAATGGCACCGGCCGAGCTTCAAGAGTTGAAGGTCCAACTACAAGAACTGTTGGACAACGGGTTCATCAGACCCAGTCATTCACCATGGGGAGCACCCGTACTCTTCGTAAAGAAGAAGGATGGTACGTTAAGAATGTGTATCGACTACCGACAGTTGAACAAGGTCACCATCAAGAACAGGTATCCCTTACCGAGGATTGATGACTTGTTCGATCAACTTCGAGGGGCAATAGTATTCTCAAAGATTGACTTGAGGTCGGGGTATCATCAGTTGAAGATCAAGGAAAGTGACATGCCTAAAAGTGCGTTCCGCACTAGATACGGTCACTACTAGTTTCTTGTGATGTCATTTGGTTTAACCAACGCACCGACGGCATTCATGGACTTGATGAACTGTGTGTTTAGTGAATACTTAGATCAATTTGTGATAGTATTCATTGACGACATCTTGATATACTCCAAGAGTGAGGAAGAGCACGAGCACCATTTGAGGCTTGTACTTGATCGGCTAAGGGAAAAGCAACTCTTCGCCAAGTTCTCCAAATGCGAATTTTGGCTCAAAGAGATTGGTTTCCTCGGTCATGTCATATCCGGTTCGGGTGTTGCTGTGGATAACGCCAAGATAAAAGCCATCATGGATTGGGAGAGACCCAGGAATGCGAAGGAGTTACGTAGTTTCCTTGGCTTAGCGGGATACTATCGTAAATTTGTGGAAAAATTTTCCGTATTGGCGCCTCCATTAACGAAGCTCACAAAGAAAAGGGGCCAAGTTCATATGGGATGACAAGTGTGAGAAGGGGTTCCTTGAATTGAAGAAACGACTTACCGAAGCACCAGTCCTTGCCCTACCCATACAGGGGATAGGGTATGACATCTACAGCGATGCTAGCATCCAAGGGCTTGGATGTGTACTGATGCAAAACGGTAAGGTGATTGCCTATGCTTCTAGGCAATTGAGGAAACACGAGGTGAACTACCCTACTCACGATCTAGAGTTGGGGGCGGTAGTGTTTGCATTGAAGATTTGGAGGCATTATCTCTACGGGGAGACGTGTCACATTTATACTGATCATAAGAGCCTGAAGTATGTATTCACTCAGAAAGAGTTGAATATGAGGCAGAGGAGATGGATGGAGTTGATCAAGGACTATGACTTGATCATCGACTATCATCCCGGAAAGGCCAATGTAGTGGCCGACGCACTGAGCAGGAAGAGTACGTCGGGGACGCTACTCACATGTCTACAGGCATTGAGGGCGCACGTGGAGGTATCCACGAGCGGGGCGCTCATTGCTAGATTCGAGGTGAGGCCTACATTGCTGAGTGAGATCAGTAGATGTCAGGCCATTGATGAGGAATGTCAGAAGATCCGCAAACGGATCCTTGAGGGGCCCGTCGAGAATTTTCGGGTACGTGATGACGGTCTTTTATTATTTAAGGATCGTGTGTGCATACCAAAGAATGAGGAGCTCCAGAGGTCTATACTTGAGGAGGCTCATTCTTCAGCATATGCCATGCATCCAGGGGGTACTAAGATGTACCGAGATCTGAAGGAAAGTTACTGGTGGTCAGGCATGAAGAAGGATATCGCAGAGTTTGTGAGTCGATGCCTTACTTGCCAGCAAGTTAAGGCAGAGCATCAGCACCCAGCAGGGCTCTTACAACCACTCACCATCCCAGAGTGGAAGTGGGAACATGTGACCATGGACTTCGTGGTGGGGCTGCCACGAACAGTGAACGACTACGATGCAGTATGGGTAGTGGTTGATAGGCTCACCAAGAGTGCACACTTTTTGCCTATCGACATTACTTATCCACTTGAAAGATTGGCCAAGCTATACTCGGAGGAGATTGTGAGATTACATGGAGTCCCAATATCCATTGTCTCGGATAGGGATCCACGATTCACATCCCGATTTTGGCCAAAGTTTCAAGCATCTTTGGGGACCAAACTGAAGTTTAGCACAGCTTTTCACCCACAGACGGATGGACAGTCCGAGCGGGTGATACAGATTTTGGAAGACATGCTTAGGGCATGTGCTTTGGAGTTCCAAGGAAGTTGGGACAAACATTTAGCCCTAGTGGAGTTTGCCTATAACAATAGTTATCAGGCAAGTATCGGCATGCCTCCATATGAGGCATTGTATGGGAGGAAGTGCAGAACACCGTTGTGTTGGGACGAGGTTGGCGAGGCCAAACTCGAAGGGATAGAGCTGGTTGAGATCACCAAGGCCAAGGTGAGGATCATTCGGGATAGACTGAAGGCCGCTCAGGACCGACAGAAGAGTTATGCTGATAAACGGCGGAGACCGTTGGAGTTCGAAGTCGGTGATGAGGTCTTCCTAAGGATTTCTCCTTGGAAGGGCATCATCCGATTCGTATCAAGGGGGAAACTTAACCCCCGATACATAGGTCCGTTTGAGATCCTTGAAAGGATCGGGGCCGTGGCTTACCGACTCAGGTTGACGCCTGAACTTGAGAAGATACATGACGTGTTTCATGTATCAATGCTCAAGAAGTACATACGAGACCCATCTCATATTCTTGAGAGACCACCGGTAGAGATCCGTGAGGACTTGCAATATGCGGTGGAACCAGTGAAGATTGTTGGTCAACAAGTGAAGAAGCTTAGGAATAAGGAGATTCCTATGGTAAAGGTCCTTTGGAGGAGTGATCGAGTCGAAGAAGAAACTTGGGAGACCGAGGTCTCAATGAGGGAGCAATACCCATTTCTTTTCGATTAGATACTTGGATTTCGGGGACGAAATCCCAAATAAGGGGGGGTGAACATGTAACACCGTCCCCAAATATATTTACTTTTATGTAAATAACGTATCGAACCTTATTAAAGGATTAATGAATTTACGAAGTTGTAAATTTTTATTATTTCTTTCGCGTGAATAGTAAATTGCACGTGGGACCCACACCGGGAGCGGGGCCGCCCGACACTCCCGAGACCACATATTTTATTCATCTTGGTCAAGATAATAAATATATAGTGGTGGGTATTTCATCTGGGCCATGGAAAGGCCCAGAGTTGACCGATTGATTAAAAGTAGCCCAAATTATCGGCACTGGTAATTTAACTGATAACAGCCCGAACTGAATTTCGGAGGCTTATAAATTTAAGTTTTGGAATATATATTATTTAAAAAGGGAATTATGATTGAGAACACATAATATATTTTATTTTACTTGATAAAATAAAATATGACTAAAATAGTCCGAAAAATACAACTTTCGGGGCAAATTGTACACTTTGGGACAAAAGGGGATGACCTCCCACATGGGTGGGGGCCACCCCACGAAATTGTCAACCAATGTGGGTTGATTGAGAGCTAAATTGGCTGAGGGATACTTGAAAGGATGGGGGAGACACCATTGACATCCAATGGACCCCTTTCCCACACCCTTTTGTCAAAAGAAACAAAAAGATGCATCTTTCTCTTCCTCTCACCCATTATTGCGGCCAGCCCCAAGGAAAGGAGAGGAGAGAGCTCTGAAACCCCATCTCCCATAGTTGAACTCGAGCCCAATCTCAAACAAGAGAAAGAAAGAAGTTTAAGGGAGAAAAAGTGAGCAAAAGGTGTGAATAATTAAGGTAATAACCTTGTAACCACTTTCTCTCTACTCTTTTGATTACCATATGAAATATATATCATATGAAGAACCCTTAGGCTTGTTCCACATGTTATAAGTATGGATTAATGGGTTGGAAAGTGGTTCTATGTCCAAGAACGGACTTAAGAGCCAAAACAACCGGTTCACCGGAAAATAACCTTTTTGAGGTTATTTGTATTAACATGGGTTTTATGATTATAAAACCTTGTTAGGAACTTGTAAAGGGTATTTAAAGTGATTTCACAAAGTTGGAAGAGTCGCCGGAGTTGTCGCCGGAGTTGACCAAAAGTCGCCGGAGTTTCACCGGAGTTCAACCAAGAAGGGTAGAACTTCATAACGCTAGTTCAAGGTGAGTGGACGGCTTAATATCTTATAACTTTTGGGTTAATTATAAGATTACCTAAATAAATGTTATATGAGTTCATAATGATGTTTAAAAGATATTTAAACATGTGATTAGCCAATAGGGTTAAGTTTGTATGAAAGAAATAGATTGTTTATGCATAGAATATGATATGAAGAATTATATAAAATGCATATTTGCTTGAAGTGTATAAGAAGCACAAATGAATATTTTAACTTAATTATATGATGATTAAGTTGATTTGTACAAGGTTTGAAATGGCGGTCAACGACAACGTTGACCGGTGGATAATGGATTAATTAATATCGGTTGATATTAATTAATTATACATTTACATAATTGCATGGCTTTGCATGGAATGTGATACATAAGTTTTATGTATTGAATTAGTTATGAATGGCTAAATATGATATAGACCCTATCTAGTGTGATATGTGGTAAGTCATAGGTCGGGTGGAGTACCCAAGGATCGGGCGGTTATCCTCAAAACTCGGTTATATAGGGTGGAGTACCCAAGGATCGGGCGGTTATCCTCAAAACTCGGTTATATAGGGTGGAGTACCCAAGGATCGGGCGGTTATCCTCAAAACTCGGTTATATAGGGTGGAGTACCCAAGGATCGGGCGGTTATCCTCAAAACTCGGTTATATAGGGTGGAGTACCCAAGGATCGGGCGGTTATCCTCAAAACTCGGTTATATAGGGTGGAGTACCCAAGGATCGGGCGGTTATCCTCAAAACTCGGTTATATAGGGTGGAGTACCCAAGGATCGGGCGGTTATCCTCAAAACTCGGTTATAGGGTGGAGTACCCAATGATCGGGTGTGTATCCTCAAAACTCATAGATTACATATAATGATCTAGGACCGGGCGGTGTCCTTATGATAATTTACTTGAACAAGGAGGAGTTCTATACACTCATAGGCATATGGGTGGGTTGGGGTTTTTAGTCAAGAATATTGACTATTACTATTTTTCCCAAATAAACTGGTGATCTACGGATCGGATATTTTTCCAAGTATATATATACTATTAAGTATTTCATAACTTGGGGGAAAGACTATTTATATAAGTATCACCCTATGTTTGGGTCTTATACTTGAAACGCTAGTTATTCTATATTTAGCCTGCTACTCGCTCGGTACTTGTACTGACCCCTTCGGGGGGCCCCACCATTTTCAGGTTGAAGCTAGGGCTTGCTACTTGCACCTTCTCACGGGTGATATCAAATCAGGAAGACGTGGTTCGTGCTTCCTTATTTTCTTTCAAACTACCGAACACTTGCTCATGGATATTTGTTCTACTATAAACTATTTTTGGGGCTTGTATGCCCATGTTGTTGGCCGGTTGTGGCTTATGACTTACCATTGAATATTTCCGCTATTCATTGGTTTAAATGTGATGTTGTTATGTATGTTTACTACTGAGTATGGATGGATTGTTTTCTCGAATGCCTTGTGTAATTAAGAGGGGTTGACTCGCGGGTGACGTCACTTAATTATACGGCGGTTGTACACGCGCTTGGATTGCGGTCTGGGGCGTGACAGCTGCCACATATCTATTGATATGGAAGGGCTACCATTAAGAATGAATGAGTTGTAGGAATAATCTTAACAGTATTGTGATGCTAGTCAATGATTGTTCGAAATGTCGATAGAATCAAACTTAAGGTTTGGGTTTGTTTGTGATGAACTTGAATAAGATTCAAGTGTCAATTGTGATTTCATGGAGTAGGAGATCTATGGTGTGATTGTATGAAGTAGGAGATCTATGGTGTGATTGTATGAAGTAGGAGATCTATGGTGTGATTATATAAAGTAGGAGATCTATGGTGTGATTATATGAAGTAGGAGATCTATGATATGACTGCATGAAGTAGAAGATCTATGATGCGAGTGCATGATGATGTACTCGAGCCGAACTCTATAAATGAGAAGTTATATTAGGGTTGGACCCTAGGTATTGTCGTGACCATTAGTGACGGGGTTTGGGAAATGTTTTGTAATAAACATGGGCCTTTGAGCCGACTACTTGACTTTATATAAAGTAAGTATATATTTTGAAAGGGGTAATTTGGGATTACGGCCTAGACTATATATATTATCACCTTATTTGAGGGTCTTGTGTGTGAAATACTTGTTGTATATCTATTAGATACCTGCCACACCAGTACTTTATAGCCGTATAGAGTACTGACCCCTTCGGGGGCGTCCCACCACCTTTTCAGGTTGAGGCTCGAGCCTACTACCTGTGCCCGTTGCTCGGGTGATCATTTGGAGAGAAGACGTGGTTCGTGCTTTCTCCATTCTGTTTTGAACAATATTAAACATGCTCATGGATATTTTACTATAGAGCCTGCGTGCTCGTGAATAGCCCTGTGTGGCCATTTTGTTTTAAACAATGTTTTCGCTGCATTATGAATTACTTATTATGTTTGTTTATAGATGTTATATGTGTGAATGATATTCAAGACGCTTTGTATAATATGGATGTGTTGGACTGCGGTTGACTATTCGTATTGTACGGCGGGTTGTTGACATGTCCGGGTAGGTCCGGGGCATGACAATTAAGTTGGTATCAGAGCCAGGTTCCATAAACTTCATAATGAAGTTTCAAAATTCTCTTTTTAAAATGATTTTTAAAACCATGAGCATAAATGTTTTGTACTTGTTGAACTTTTGGCGTTTGAGTTGCAAGGTCTCTAATTGTTAAGATGGTGCCCTTAACAATTGGTATGGCGGTGACTTGGCCCAAAAGATGTCTTAAGTGCCTATCTGTCAGTTGACAATTGAAATGAGTCTAATGACTCATTCTAATTATTACTTTCAGCGATGGAGGGTGATGGTGGTATTATGAATAGGGAGAACTCGGAAGGGTTTGCACCGGGTGGAACTGGGCATGCCAACCGAGAAGAGTCCTTAGTACCAATGGTACGGTTCACGAAATGCTAGAAGCTCAAATCGTGAGTGGCGGTCATGTTAAGACCAAGGAAGAATCACCTTGTCATGGCAAAATTGAACCAAACAAGGCTTCGGGGGACGAGGAAGATGATTTGGGTGTTGAGGACCGTGATGGTGCACCCATTGAACAAATGGGCATGGTCATAGATTGCCTTCAACGTGAACGTGTGAGGCTTATACAAAAACGCCAAGCTGGGCAAGCTGAGAGCGTACCGTTAGTAAGGAAAAGGAAGCGAGGAGACAACGATTCCCAAAGACATTCAAGGAGGACAAACGTTGAGGGTGACAAAACCTTCAAGGCGCAGACACTATCACTTGAGTGGAGTCAAGGCTCGCGTGGCCAGAACTCGAGGTCAAAAGGTCCGAGGGTACCTAAGTGCAACAACTGCAAGAAACACCACTCGGGTAAGTGTCAGGACCCTCCTAGGTGCTACCAATGCACAGAGGTCGGGCACACGAGAGTGAGCTACCCACAAATTGTGCAAAACCAAACTTCGGGGTCAAGTGGTCAAACTACAGGCAACGAAAACCAAGTTGGGGCTTCCCATGCAACCATGGGGCAAGAAGAAGCAACCACGGGCAATGCACCATCCGTGAATCAAGGGAGAACTTAAGCAAGAGTCTACTCGATAACGGAGAAGGATGCTCAGGCAAACCCGGATCCGTTGCAGGTACTACCTCCTGAATACTTGTAATTTTGTCCATGATTAGTCCATAAATGGATGATATAAGTCATAGGGATTGGGTGCGGGGCATCTCGGGTTCAAACCGGGGGAATTCGGGCCAAAACTGACCGAAAACAGGGATGAACGATCGTGAGTCCAACCCCACGTACGATCGTGCGTAGGGGGCAGTGGCTCCGGGTGACTTTCGCGTAGGACGCACGATCATGCGTGGCCGGGTACGCACGATCGTGCGAAGCCGGCAGTGGCCGGATCTGAGTTTCTTCACGCACGCACGACCCTGCGTGCCCCACGCACGACCGTGCGTGGACCCCCATCGTCCGAAACTCGATTTTTCGCCCCGTTCTTTTACGATTGGACCCCCGTTTGATTCCAAACTTTAATATAAACATAATAACCTCCGAAAAAGGTCCAAAAACGTTAGAAGATGTATCTTACATGACGTATAAATGTAGGAACATTAAAGATCAATGGTAGGAGTGCAAGGATCCTCATCGATACCGGGGCACAACGTTCATTCGTGAGTGAGGCGTTCGCCGAGGGCTTAGAGATACAACCAATACCAATGACGCAAACTTTAGTGGTATCAACACCACTAGTTACTATCCATTTTGTGAGGTGGAAATCGATGGCCAAACCTTGACGTGTGATTTCGTACTGCTGAGTATGATGGAGTTCGATGCAATCCTAGGGATGGATTGGCTAGAAAAGCATCATGTTAGGGTAGATTGCTACACAAAGGTTTTAGAACTCGAAGGCAATGATGGGAACACCCTACGCTTCGAGGGGGACCGAGGCAAATCAAACAGTTGTGTCATATCCGCCGTGAGAGCGAGAAGTATGATGAGAAAGGGATGTCACGCATATCTAGCATACGTGGTTGACAAAACCAAAGAGGAAACGAACATCGATGATGTGAGGGTGGTTTGTAAGTATCCGGATGTTTTCCCTAAAGACCTATTGGGGCTTCCACCTGCTAGAGAGATTGAATTTGTGATCGAGGTCGAGCCCGGTACCAAACCAATCTCTATATCGCCATATCGGATGGCACCTGCTGAACTTAATGAATTGAAAACCCAATTGCAAGAGCTATTGGATAACGGATTCATTAGACCAAGCTATTCACCGTGGGGAGCACCAGTCCTTTTTGTGAAAAAGAAAGATGGTACCCTACGAATGTGCATTGACTACCGGCAGTAAACAAGGCCACCATCAAGAATAGGTATCCCCTACCTAGGATTGATGACTTGTTTGACCAACTCCGAGGAGAAACCGTATTCTCAAAGATTGACTTGAGATCAGGGTATCACCAACTGAAGATCAAGGAAAGTGACACACCGAAAAGTGCTTTCCGCACGAGGTATGGTCACTTTGAGTCCTTAGTTATGTCGTTTGGGCTAACTAACGCCCCAGCGGCATTCATGGACTTGATGAACCAAGTCTTCCTTAAATACTTGGACCAATTTGTGATCGTTTTCATAGATGACATCTTGATTTACTCAAGGAGTGAAGAAGAGAATGAGAGGCACTTGGTTCTGGTTCTTGAAACGCTACGAGAGGAGCAGCTTTACGCCAAGTTCTCTAAGTGCGAGATTTGGCTTAAAGAGATTGGCTTTCTTGGGCACGTAGTTTCTGAGTCAGGCATTGTCGTGGATAACAAAAAGATCGAGGCTATCATAGAATGGGAAAGGCCTAAGAACGTGAAAGAGATTCGTAGCTTCCTCGGGCTAGCGGGATACTACAGAAAATCCGTGGAGAATTTCTCAGTTTTGGCATCACCATTGACGAAGCTCACTCGAAAAGGGGCTAAGTTTGTATGGGATGAACGATGTGAGAAGGGGTTCTTAGAACTGAGGAAGAGGTTAACCGAGGCACCGGTACTTGCATTACCCAAACAGGGTATGGGATACGATGTCTATAGTGATGCGAGCATCCAAGGGTTTGGATGTGTGTTTATGCAGATGGGGAGGGTGATTGCCTATGCTTCACGACAGTTGAAGAAGCATGAGGTAAACTATCCTACTCATGATTTAGAGCTGAGCGCAGTGGTGTTTGCGTTGAAGATATGGAGACACTATCTCTACGGGGAGACGTGTCACATATACACTGATCATAAGAGCTTGAAGTACGTGTTTACTCAGAAAGAGTTAAACATGAGACAAAGACGGTGGATGGAATTGATAAAGAACTACCATCTAGTTATTGAGTACCATCCAGGTAAGGCAAACGTTGTAGCAGATGCCCTCAGTCAGAAGAGTTCGTCTGGGGCATTGCTGAATAGTTTGAGGGCATTGAGAGCCCATTAAGAGGTATCTAGCGATGGTGCCTTATTGGCACAATTCGAGGTGAGACCGACCTTACTTGATGAGATCAAGAAGAGTCAAGAAACTGACGAAGAACTTATGAAGGTCCGGGAACGCATGCAAGCGGGACCGATGGAGGATTTCAGGGAGAGAGATGATGGTCTCATCTTGTTTCGTGACCGAATGTGTGTACCGTCGGATGGTGAGCTCCGAAAGTCCATCTTAGAGGAGGCTCATTCATCGGCTTATGCCACGAACCCGGGGGCCAAGAAAATGTACCGTGATTTGAAAGAAAGTTACTGGTGGTCTGGTATGAAGAGGGAAATAGCCGAATACATCAGTCGATGCCTTACTTGTCAACAAGTTAAAGCAGAACATCAGCATCCAACAGGCTTATTACAACCACTTTCCATTCCTGAATGGAAGTAGGAACTT